ACGAAACAATTCATTGTTAACTCCGACGCCGACATAGTTTTATTGATTTTTTATAGCGATTCATACAATACTGTTTGGGGCGGTCTCTCCATTGGATGCACTGTTTTGGCAGTTTCTCACACAACACATGTCATCACAACACGAATCCATAGCGTTTGGAGTGAAGTTTATATCGATATCATTACAACTAATGCTATACTCTTTCAAATAAAACTTTATCTCTGCCTCTCTTTATCTATGCCTCTCTCTCTCTCTCTCTCTCTCTCTCTCCCTACTGTTTTCACAGCAAAAAACAGTTGTTTCAAGCATTTGTTTTTTATGAAATATATATGTAATAAATATATTTTTTATTTATTAAAAATTGCATTTTTGAAGCACAATATGTTAAACACACTAATACTTTGATTCCATTAGTATTTTCCATGAAAAGCCCAAATAAATTGAGCGAACATTTACTGGAAATACCTCTTCATTTAATTTAACGCAAAGTGTATTCCCAAATGGGAATTGAAATATGATAACCGAAATCCACTCACGAATTCATAATTACTTTTTTCGGGCCCTAAAAATGTTAGCCAAGAGTTATATAAATAATAAAAGCGATCGATTGGTCAAAAACATACACACAAATAATGATCCGTTTAATTGTGTTAAGAGTTTGCGAGTTTGTGGTAATTTAATAAAGCCATTAGTTATCAAATGCCCAAAAATCCAGTGCCATTATTATTATTATCCTACGCTATAAAACATAATTGTTATGAATATAAATAATACTAATTTATAAAATTAATTTAATTTAGTTTACAAGTTATTGTTGTTGTTCTCCCGCATCACAATTGAAATGATGATTAAGTTTACTGAAAACCTTTATAAAAACAATGTCCCTGATCTCAATCAACATATATCATACCAGACCTACTCTACTCTTTATCCAAACTCAATAACAACCAAACGGTTAACTAACGCTTTAATTGATATACATTTCTGCCGTTTCATCGCTTTATTCTTCCCTATTATTCGTTAAACAATTGATAAGTCTTTTCACTAAAATAAATACATTTATTCTAATTGTGTTTGTCTTATAGAAACTAATTATCACTTATTTATAAATTCATTTATGTATTGATTTAATTTCAATATCTTTTCCTATCATTCATTTAAAACGGTTTATGTGTTATATCGTTAAAAATAGTAAAAAATTGTAACACTTATGTTATACATTATGTTATCATGTTTTGTTTGTATGAAATAATATTTTTCTAATTCAATTTCAAGGTATGTTACGAAGCAATTAATTGTTTACAAGTTTGCGATTGTGTGATAATTATTGGTGTATTTTAAATATTGTTTGTTTGTGTCTAAATTCACTATTGGACCCAATTTTAAGCTAATCTTATTTTATTTTGTTGTTTTCTTTTGGGTTAGAATTTTGTTGTTTTCTTAGAGTTTTTACTTTCAAATTATTCCTAAATATCTATTATTGAAAACATTTTTCATTGCTTTTTTGACAGCTCTTTTGCTGTCATAAATGTTCACTACTTTCGGTTCATTACAAATGAGACATTACTTCACTTCAGATCAATCCGTTTTGAAAGCAAATTCCTTTAATCCAAAAGTTTTTCTGTTAAACAATGACTAAACCGGTGGCTGAATCTGATCCGCAAAAGTGTGATAAGTGTTACGAAACTGTTGAGAATCAGGAGCTGATCCTGAAGATAATCCAAGACAAACTCAACGAATGCAATGAATTAAAAAAGCGTGACAACGATTCAGACACTGAAAGTGTTAAGTATTGCTGTGTGTGTAAGAAGTTTACCACCGATTCTCAAGAGTCGGACGGAGTTTATAACAAATACAAGTCAAAAGATGGCAATCCGGCCAACAGTTACGGAACTATTAATCCGGTGGTCGTTATCAACATGTTTAAGGATGAGGACCACATCGGGGCCGGAGGTGTCATCAATGAAGCCTTTCTCAACAACGAAGACAACACTCACTTTGATTTGAGAATTATTCCCGAAGTGAGCGAAGAATACCAAATGGATCCGACTCTAGAGAGACCCACACCTATTGGTGACAACCCTTTTGGCCATTCGGACAAATGGAGGACAGCGTCGAGGAAATCAATGGCATCGACAAAGTCTCACAATTCAACACAATTGCGAACAATGACTCCGTCCGCGAGACGGAGGTCTTCGGCCATCACTTCCAATGCCAGTGAAAAGCGAAGGGAAAGCATAAGGAATATGTTGTTTGGAGACCCGGAGCTCTCACTCCGACGATTCAGTCAAGACATTAGAAGCACTCTTAATGAGGAAAAAGAATTGAGCGATGAATACGAAACCTATAAAGTTATATTCCTTCAGGTCTTTCTCCCATTTCTTATCGCAGGTATACTTAACTAATATTTACTTATTATAAGAATAAGAATATTATAAGAATTATTATTAAATTTATGTAAATATTCATTAAGGTTTTGGTAACGTTGGCGCCGGTCTTATACTTGATTATGTCCAACATTGGGATGTATTTCAAAATGTGTCCGAACTGTTTATTTTGGTCGCTTCGTATGTTTTATTAATTTTGTTAAATTTAAATTATAACTTATTTAAAACTATTTATGAAAATTGTTCACAGATTTCTGGGTTTTAAAGGCAATTTGGAGATGACATTAGCGGCCCGACTGTCCACTCAGGCAAATCTGGGTAATTTGGATAAACCGTGCCAACAGTGGGGAATGGGTGTGGGAAATATTATCCTGATCCAATGTCAGGCGATAGTGGTCGCCCTTTTGGCCGCAATATTTGCCATTTTAGTCAATATACTCAAGGATTGGGAGTTTCAAACCGATCACTGTTTACTGATTTGCGCCACGAGTCTCATCACGGCGTCGGTCACCGGCTTTCTTCTCGCATCTCTTATGATAGCAGTGATAATACTCGCCCGCAAAGCGGGTGTCAATCCTGACAACTGCAGTACATTAATCGCAGCCTTTTTGGGCGACATATCGGCGGTAGTGATGTTGTCCGGAACCGCTAAACTACTATACAATGTCCGTCACATCCAATGGATTGCCCCCACATTTATAGTCATTTTCTTAGCACTGCTTCCTTTCTTTATATTTATCGCTAAGAATAACGAATACACCAGAGATCTGATCGACAGGGGATGGTATCCAATCATTATAGCGATGTTTGTCTCAAGTATTGGTGGCTTTATATTTGATTTTGCGGTCAGTATTTTTGAAACGATAGCCATATTCCAGCCCATAATCAATGGCGTCGGCGCCAACTTAGTTGCCGTTCAGGTCTGATATGATTTATTATTTATTAAAAATATATGCGAATCAATGCTAAATGAAAGTGATTTATATTCAAAGGCGAGCAGAATCTCCACATATTTGCATCAGAGGTGCGCTTTGGGCGAAAAACCTCCCATTAGTTGTAAAGTGAATACAGATATTTGTCAATTACCTCATCATGTATTTATGGGCTCAAGTGAGTGATCACTAAATTTATTGCAACATTTTATTCTGTATTTTATTGTTAATAAATTATAGACTTAATTGATAAAAACTTTTGTGCCAAACATTGCGTTTTTTAATAAACAGATACAAACGTGAGAACCGCTAGACTGTTGCTAATAAT